GTTAATCAAACGTCTAGTATGCGCCCAGCCTCTTATAAAGATAGAGTCACAATTCGAATCCTAGAAAGAAAATGGAACAGTCAAGCTGATGTGGAAGATGGAAGGCAAAAGCTGAAGGGATACCAGCTTTCAGCAAGTAGAAAAGAAGTTTGTCCCACAGAAGTGTTGGTAAGGAATTCGTGCAGCATGTCTACTGTTACTCTGATCAGGCGGTTTGATGTAATTACCAGCCCTACCATATGTATTTGGTTTCTTACTTCCAGAATTGGACTATTCCAGAGAGACTTCTCCAGAGAAATAAACAATTTATTGTGGAGTGAATCTTACTCTTGTGAGGGGAGACCGTGCTTCCTAGACACACAGCTGCTGCTGCTGCTTCTGTCTCTCGGGTTTCGTCTACACATGAGACGCTGTCTTCTCAGTTCTGAACTGAGCATCCATCTTTTGAACAGCTGGGCACTGTAGCTCAGAATTAGGTCAGAAATTCCCAGGGTTTCATATTGCAATTTTCAGAGACGTTACTTGGTTTTACATTTCATTGTTCCTGATCTGTTGATAGTACAGTGGGTTACAAGTTTATTCTTTCAATTTGATAAGAATCTACTGAGGAAATTGGAGTATCATCTAAAACAGATACTATTAAAAGCCCTTCATTTGCTTAAAATAAAAAGAAGCCTAGTTGTAAGGACTAGTTCCAGTACCCAGCAGTATCCAGCACAGGACACTATGCACATACCCACAGTGGCAGAGCCAAAGGAGTCATACTGGGTTGTCAGAGAGCCACCTCTCTTGTATTCACCACATCCTTGTTGGGTCCCTTATTAATGTGACAGGATGTGCTGTTGTATTGAACTTTTAAACTAATGGTACAGGTGTAAACAGGACAGCTTCTTTCTTTTTTTTTAAGGTTTTAAATGTATGTTTAGTTCTCTGACATTTACACTAATAAATATTTCTGCATTCTTTATAATGTAAGGCTTAAAAATGTAAACTGGAATCATATGAACATTTTTCATTTCCATTTGTAAGAAAACATAAGTAATAAGTACTGTCAGAACTTTTTGTGGTTTACCTCTCCAAATCCATCCTCCCTCCTTCTTCCACCTGTTATGTCCTGGGAGGCTGAGCTTCTCCAAGGGTATCCTCAGCTCCTTAACATTGAGGTTTGTTTGGCCATGCTAAAATGGAAACAAAGGGGCAGAATGTTGCAGGAGACTAAAGGCTGGGATGCTTAACGGACAGCTTCTTTGATTCCCTGTGTTCTTCTGAAGTGTTTATAAAGGAGGAAACAAACATGATCAGCTATTATAGAAATAGCAGGAAATATTATTCTGAGGAAGAGGAGTTCATTGCTCTGGGCTCCAGCATGGCGTCTGTCTTCCTAGCTCACCATAGCCTTTGTCTCCTCTGAGTTTTGAAAACCCTAAGTACTTGGCACCTGCCATCTAACTGCCCACACATCATTGGAGGAGTCATTTAACCTCCCAGTTGCTCAGGCTTTCCTTCCTTGAAGTGGCTGTCCTGCCTCCTCATTCTGTGGGAATCAGAGAGGTGATGACATCGCTGTACTCTGTAGATTGCATGGCGTTCAGCATCATCAGACTCTGTGCCCACCTGGACTCTCAGCAGCTCACCTGCATCACAGAGGTCAAGGCCCCTGAGCAGTCGAGCTGCAGACACAGCCACCTGGCCCATCTTAGGAGGTGGAGTTTATTTCTAGCTTAGAACATCTTTATGGAAGTTCCAAAATGTTCTCCAATAATTTTACTGTTTAAAAACAAAACTGTGTCAGAAATATCATAGGAAGGGAAGAGAGACTAAGCAACTCACCTCCGTGCTGACCTGCACATGAAATCTGCATCTCTGTAGACTCAGCACACCGTCGCATGCCAGGGTCTAACAGGATGCCATTCTTATTAGCAGTGCCACATGCCGATCAATAATCTATGAAGCAAAAGGTCTGGGAGCTTCAGGGTGAAATCCAAACTACAAAGGCCACTGGCCACTTCCAGTGTCCCCAACTTTAGATTGATTTCCAACTTAAGATGGAAGCTTAAGCCCATCCATTTCACCGTTTAACTGCAGAAGTGATAGAAAAATAGACAATGAACACACAGTTGCACTCAGAGAGAGACAAGAATGGGAGTTCTTCATGTGCCTGGAATGGAAAGGTGACCTCAAAAGAAGTACCATGCAGAAACTCTGCAGGAGGTCAGGCCAAATCCCTGTCATCCTGCAAACACAACATGAGAGGCAGGCATGTTGGTGTCCAGGAGAGACTGCTGGGTGCCCCTCCCCTAGAATGGGGTTCACAGCAAGAGGACCTCAACTTACATCTCCTGCTTAGGACAAAGAGCTCCAGCATGCACACCATATGAGGTCTGTAGAGAGCTCTTAGCTATACCCCTGTATAACAGCACCAACTATGCATGCCCAAAAACCACGATCTCTAAAGTAGGGAAACCAGATTCTCGGTTTGTAAAAGAATTGTCGATGTGGTAAAGTAGCCTAAAACCATAGAGTTGATGATCTTGAAAAAGAGCTAATTAGAAATTTTAGAAATTAAAATATAATTATTTTTAAATTAAAAACTTAGTAACTGAGTAAAAAATCAGTTCAGACATGCAAAAAACTAAAAACATTGATATGGAAGACTGAGCTAAGAAATCACATGAATGCTCCCAAGGGCATAGAAGGTTGGCAAGGACTATGGAAGCTGACCTAGGGGCAACTGCTCTGCCCCATTGGAATTCTGCAAGGAGGGAATAAGAGGATGGAGAGGCAAGGGCAAGGTCAAATGAGGCCATTATTGGTAGTATTCCTACTGTGAAGATATGTAACTTTTAGACTGAAAAATATACTCTCACATAGGGCTTAAAACGTAAATCCACAAGTGAACACTTTATACAGAATTTTGGAATGTCAAATATAACAAGAGAATCTACCTTCATCTCTAGCTACTTCCTGCTCATGCTGTCTGCCTTGCCAACGCCAACACACTCTCAATTTCCTGAAAATGCCACATCCACCGACAACTTCTCAGCCTGGCAACCCTTCCCAGCTTGGATGCTCTTTTCTCTCCTTTCTCTTGGCTAAAGCTTTTCTCCTTGAGAAAGTCTTGCCAGTCTTCCTCCCACGTTCCTATTCCCTAATCCCTGAAATGTTATAGCAGCATGGCCATCCAACTGCTCTCTGCACCGTCACTGTTGTTGCTGGTCATTTATTTGACTCTGGCTCTCCTTGCTGTGTGAGCTTCTCACAGTTGGCTATCAGGTCTTTCAGCTTTGGCTCTTCAAGGCTCAGCATGGTTCATGGAATGTGGCAGCCACTCATACCTGTCATCACCTCAAATGACTTGGGAAATGAATGAAATTATAAGCCAATAAGTTAGGAAGCAGTTGAATGTGTCACCAGAGTGGAGAGACCAGCTGTGAGTTTCTTCAGGAGGTGGAGCTAGTTATCAACAAAGCCAAATCTTCTGTCTTGAACAGAGGAGTTTAATGTGTGTGTGTGTGTGTGTATCTTAATGCTCTACCACAAACTTCCCTATCTTTAAAAAAATAAAATAACAGTTATCTTAAAAATAGAACACGTTTTGGAAACGAAGAATTTTTGGCAAGAAAAGTTGACTTTCCATCTGTTATTTCCAGTTTGTCTAAATGGCAGCCTTACATTCTTTTGTTATTAGACATATGGATAGCTCAAGATGTAGAGCTAGAATCATCCTTGAATAGTGAAGTTCAAACAGAATTTACGTTGTAGTATGATTATTTTCTGACCACATTCCTAAGAATGTCTCAGAGTGTTGAAGTTCGCAGGGTAACTTCGTTAGATCACTATCTAGTGACCTTGAAAATTTTCATTTAATACCTGTTTTCCATATGGAAATGCATCATGATTTAAGCTGAGTGTATTTTCTCAGGACTGCTTCAATAGTAGATAGAAAGGAGCTGCAGAAGCTTGGTTTAGTTTTCCAGGTTGTGTTTAGCACCTGGGACTACTCCACATAAAATTGTGTCTCACAGGAAGGCCACCTTGAATCACATCATTCTGAAAATTTTAAGACTTTTATGCACAATAATCCTACTTGATATTCAAGAAATCAATGAAGGTACAAATTCTGATGTACATCAGAAATGGTCAAGTTAAGTAGAGCGCCTTATTAGTGTAACAGAAGAGAAGTTAGCTGACTGTCCCTCTGTTAATGTAGGCTTTCTAGACAGCCCTGTGTCTATTCAAAGTGGGTGAATGGATTTTTTGGCTCTACTGGAGATGTCCTATTCTGAGGGAGACCTAAAATCCCAGACTCTGACCTCTGGAAATAGGATAAAAGCTGCCAGATATTTTACTTTCACCATCTGGGGTCACTAACTGACCATGACCCTGGGGATGGATATTGCTCCAGCACCTTCATGGGCTTGTCCCTGGCATTTCCTCCTAAGGAAAGAATTCAAGATAAGTCAAGGCTGACCTGGGGCATCTGCTTCCAGACAGTTGGGGTGTTATCCTGTCTGAACAAGAACCAACCCACTGCCAAGAGACAGACAGGAACAAGTGAAGCCTGTGGAAAATAAATACCTAAGGAGGATTTTTTTATGTCTTTGAATTTCCAGCAGTCATCATGGTGCCTGTAATTAGTGGCATTTAATGAATGCCTAATGAATGATTGTTTGGACAACACCATTGAGCTCCATTCTGGACACGTGTCTTACTCTCTTGGTCATTAACACCTGGAAACAGATTTCACCCCATACCAAAAAAATACCATCATTTAGGTGTTGCAAGTACACGTGAGGTGGGAATGAGACCATTTTATTGAATCATGATGTCCTTACCTTAGTTTTTGACAGCTTAATTAAAATTAAAAGCGAGACTGATTTCATTCACTATTCGTTTATAGAAATTATGTTTTTTCTGTATATGCTGTTTCTGACTGGCAATCAGAATGCCTTAAAAAAGACTAATAAAAAAAGTTGAACTATTTGTCTCTTTTTTTCCAGCGGAAGATAATAGTCTGTCTCAGAAGAAGAAGGTCACTGTGGAAGATCTTTTCAGTGATGATTTCAAAATCCATGACCCCGAGGCGAAGTGGATAAGCGGTGAGTCCAGAGTCCTTGCACCTGAGAAGTTCTTCCCACTTGCAGCCTCTTCTCCAGTCTGGGTTTGGTGGTTTGTTTCTTGGTACACAGAGCTTTTGCTGTGATCATCACCATGTGTCATCCTAAGAGCATGTGAATTTGGTAACGCCAACTCCTTGTTGTATGTGTTGCCACACAGGCATCAGCACAGTGTCAGATACATGACAAATGGGTGACTTCCTTCATGTGTCACTTCCGGGAGCCATTAAGTGACATGTTTCTAGGCATCACAGCCTGTGGTGAGGCACCCAAAGACAGCTTTCCTGCCTGCTCCACTGTCTTGATCAGCCTCCATGGTTTTACTTTCACTTTGGCAAAGCAGAGGAACAAGCAGTAGCCAGGGACTCCCCATGACACTGCTGAACACAGGGAGCCAGTGAGAAGACACTGAGAAATCTATCTTGACTCAAATTTTTTAAATGTTTTAATTTTTATTAAGATTTATTCATTGTACAGGGGGATTGTGATAATTCCAAATAGGCTTACATTCTACATTGGTTAGATCACCCCCACTATGCACTCCCCCCTCAGTTTTAATCTGAATCACACCTAATTTTCTTGTTTGGGTTTTTTTTTTCCTGAATGACAAAATAAAGTAGAATTAGCAGTAGGAGGCAATATATACAGTCAACACTCTTTTGGTCCCCACCATGATGGCTTTCCTCTAACAGGCTTTGACATCACAGGAGTGTATTCATGGAGCAAGGTGCAAACACCTGCTCACCTCCCTTGCTGACAGTGCCTCTCCTTTATCTCTGGTAGTTGCATTCAGCTCTGTCTTCGTGGATGCACTTGAAAATGAATGCTCAGGTTGGACAACCTTTCTTGTGCAATGCTTGAGGTCCTATTCAAATCATGGCTTTTATAATAAGTGGGGATCCAGAGAGATTAAATGGCTTTTCTGGACTCATTGGAATAGCAGCACAATATCACTAGCAGCCTGCCTCCTGACTTCCAGCTTTGTGCTCTTTCCGTTACTCGGTTTTGTTGGGTGACATGGTATTGTTAGATTTTTGTTATTGTTGTCAAACAATAAAATATTTTTTCATGCTTCACAAACTCTCAGAAATCAACTAACAGTGGACTTTGCTTGTAATGTCCTCCTTGGGGGAACAGCTTCTCTTTTGTCCTCTTCTTTGACTTCAGTATTCATTTCTGACCCTTAGATTATCTTATTTACAAATGAAAATAGTCACTGGATTTTGGAGGTAATGTATTTTAGAAACAGGGGAAAGAGAAGCAGTGTATTGTGAATATGAAGAGAAGGGATACAGAAATGCAAGCCATAAGATGAAGTAGAGGTCTTTCTGCTTGACAAGGAGTTAATTTTACCTTTGGCATTGGTCCTGCCTTAGCATTTGCTGTGCTTGTGCTGACCAGGTGCACAGACAGTTGTGAGCAGCCATGGTGCACTCTGGCCAGACATTGGGAATAAAGCATCTTTACACTCCTTACGGAGCTCAAAACCACATTCTGGAAAGGTACCAATGACATGCTGGATGCAGAGGAGGAATTCCATTTTCTCATTCACCTTGAGAAGGTGCTTCAGAGGTAGGGCATAAACTTGACCTTAAAGGGTGGTTAGGATTTGTTAGTCAAGCACAGAATAGACCTCTAGAAAAAGGTAAGTCTAAAATGTTAATCTGTACTAATTGGGAGACCAAGGGGAAGCTCAGAGACAACATTGAGGGATGAAAAGAACAAAGACAAGCAAACCCTAGTGGAAATATAGATTGTGGGGTCAATCTAAGGCCAGACATGAGGGACACCAAATCCCCAAAACTGCATTGTAGCATTCAGAGTGGGCTAGAGGGCCTGAAAAAAAACCCACAAAATAGGTGCATATTCCTTCTTCAGGTGCCACCGTTTCAGCCTTGCCCTAAATCAGCAATCTATGTGCAAAAAAGAGGTTAAGCAGCGATGGGGAGGCACAGAGCCCAGAAAAGTTTCTTCAGGCACCTGGTCAGTGAAGATGTAAGGAGTTTGCATTTTGTAAGCAATGAATGCATAGGACCCAGAGACGTACTGGCTGTCTGGCCAAAGGAAAACAGCTGGAAATTCCTTATGGCCCTGAAGTTGGGAGTTAAGACTATGGCATGGCCAAACCCCAGCAGAAAATGCCCAGGCTGCCTGTTTTGGCAAGTGAAATCTACTCATAAGAACCACGCATGGGTCTACACGGGCCTACCAGTAAAGGGTCACCTGGAGTGTCCCCAGGACCCTTCCTTTGTAATGTGCACACAGAGTGAGTTCTGTTAGGATGTAGCCAGGCAGTCCACAAACATTTGGAGTGTATTGGAACAAAACTGTCCCCGACACTACTTTAGGCTACCTTCTTACCTTCTTTCACTTACTGCTTTTCCTGATCATCCTTTCCTCCCTGCTTCCTAAGCATCTGCTAGGTTAAAGTGATGAAGCAACCTTGCAATGGTTAGTAACGGTCTACAATTGGCTTCTTACAAACACTGTGAGAATTCACTCATTTTTGTACCACATGCCTAAGTGTTAAGACCTAGGAAAAATTATTATGAACTCACAGGTGATCTCATTTTTTAGAACCGGGAGAAGTTTTAGACATTATTAGAACATGCATTCATTCATTCAGGAAGAGTTTATTGAGGGCCTGCAATGGAGCAGGCAGATTTCTGGGCCCAGAGAGGGTGAATAATTCTTCATGGCAAATATGGAAATCACTACCACCACCACAGTACCTCTTCTTCTTCCTCCTCTCCCCTCTTCTTCCTCATCACTATCACCATCATCTACTGAATAGTGTTTTAAGCTCTAGGCTAAGTGCCTTACACATATTAAGTCACTTAATTCTCACATAGTACAGTTGTGAGATTCCCATCGTACAGTTGTGGAAAATGAGGCTTAGGGTATTTAAGTAACTTGATCTGTATCATACAGTTAGTAACTACAAAATGTGGACTTCAACCTAGGCATGCCTCACTGGTTTTTATAAACTATGCTCCCCTGGATAAAATCTAGACTTTCTGTCACCAGGCAACTGCTTTTGCAACCTCTAGATAGCTACTCTGTGTGTTTTAACCAAGAGTGTGGATCGTGGATATTTCAGAATTATTGCCAGCCTTTAAATTCTCTTCTAGAATTCTTTAAATTCTCTCTCTTCTTACCCCTGTTGCCTGTACCAGAGTTAATAAAATCCCAGTGACAGAGAAGATGGGGCCACCCTGTTCTGAGAAGAGATTTGACTTGTTTAGGCTCCATTAACCACTTTGGGCTTACCGTTAGAGTTAACAGTCTAGAACTTGTGAACTTTATCAGGAGGAAATGGGTTAAAGTTGTTTCCTCTCCCCATTTTAATACCATAGCTTCACTTTTTAAAATTCTACCTTTTCTGAAAATGACTGGCAGAATAGTTTTTACCTCCTCTAACATCCCAGGTTTGTTACAACCTCTGGACAAACCGAAGGAAGTATGTGAACTAACAGAACCTACATCCAAAGGCTCCCTCTCAGCTCCTCCTGCCAGGGAAGGGCTGCAACAGCACAGTCTCTCACACATGAGCACCACTGAGTAGCTTCTATGTCTTATGTCAGCCATCTAGCCCTCTCAGCATGGGGCAGCCTCCATGCTCAGATCTGGATTCTGTGACAGGAGGTGCCATTGGTGACTACTTGTCCACAGGAGCCCATCATCTTGGCTCTCCTGGGCCCTTCACTCTTGCCATTTCCTAGATGGGAATGGATACCTGTCCTCTCCTTCAACCTCCACATCTTCCCGCAACCAGAGCACAGCTTGCGAGCACCCCCTACCTCATCCCTCATACACCTACCCTGCCACGTGTTCTGCTGCCCCTTCCTGTAGCAACCAATGACCTGTCTCCTGTCTATGTGTCACCTAAACAAACCACAGGTGAACTTGCTTCACCAGCTTAAGAAGTAATTGCAGCAAATCTCTCCTAAATGTTTTGGATCATTCTCATCTTGAAGCATGTTCTCATTTCTCTCACCTTTAGTGCATGCACATACACAGAGACACACACACACCTTACTGAGTCCATGGTCTCGCCTCTCCTCAGAAGCTGGAGGCAGGGGTATAACTGGTGTCTCCCACCTTCCCTCCCTTCTTTCTGACTCTGTTCTAGGAGGCTTCTGACCCAGCTCTTCTGAAATTCCTCCCATCAGAGTTAAGGAGACTCTCTAGGTTGCTAATATCAGGTGTCATTTCTCAGACCCCCTCTTACTTTAAGGCCAGCAGCATGTGACAGGAAGTACAGCTTCTCCCCTAGAAGTTCCAACTGGCCTGAGGCCACTCCACCCACTGGCATGGCCTCTAACTGTAGATAGTACCCTGGCCATCCAGGTCCTCTTGCTGGCTGTCTTTTCCTCCACTGTCCATATTGGTGGTCCTGGGCCCAGACGAGGCCCCTGCTTTTCACACCTGCATTCCCTCCTTGCTGCTTCTACCTAATGTCATGATTTTAAACACCCTCTCTACTTCTGCATCCCCTAAATGCTCATCTCCGGGCCAGACCACTCCTCAAACTTCTCAAATGCCTCGCTGACATCACAAATTTAACCTTAATACTTCCAAATCCAAGTTCTTGATTCCCTCAAAAACAAAACCACAAAAAAAAAGTTTTTAAACTTCCCTATATACAGCTCCCCAATGTCAGCAATGGGAAACTTACCTGTTTTAATTTACTTTGATAACCCTCACTAGTCTATTTATATTTCGAATGCCTCTTATTAAGCCTGGTTCAGACTTGTAATGAGGACCTCTCTAGAAAGAGAGTAGAAGGTATTCACATAGAGCCTACTTTCTGCCCTCTTCTCCTTCCACCCATGAACCAGGGAGGGTCTCCCACGGATAGGCGGAACCCATCACTGGGCTCTGGGAGCAGTGATGGCAAGGACCCTGGATGACCCACCCTCGACAGATGGCTTTGCTGTTGCAGAATTGCCTTTTGTGAAGACAGGCCATGCTGGGCCTTG